GCCGTCACCTGCTTAACGCCAAAAGGCTCATGAGAGCTACGGAGCGTATCAGCGCACGCATTCCAGCTCCCGCGGCGATTTCAGCCAAAACTTGGCCAGTGAAACTTGGTATGAAAACGCGAGCTAGAAAATTTTTCTACATAATTATGCCATAGCTGATTAATAAAAGCGGAATTATGATACTCACAAAGAGCGTATAGAGTGAGGAATATCATACCAGCACCGAACCATTTCCATTGCTGGCGGGCATAACCAAACAGAAGCTTTGTGAGCCGCCATGTACTCTCACGAAGTTTTGATTCTTCTCCTAACGCAAATAAGTGTGTATTTGAAACTCCTTGAACCTTTCAACTAGATCACCTGAACTTTGTTCCACCTCTTCTAGTCGTCCATATCCCGACAGCCGTGGTGCTGTGAGCTGCCAGCAGAGCATGAGGAACATGACAGCAGCGAGAACTGACCACCCAACAGTCATCCATACTCCAGGATATGTGAGCAGTACAGGGTGCTCAGAAAAACATAGCAATTTCACCAGTGTATGACAATATATAGCAGTTGCTACGCCTAAGCTAGGCATCTTCAAATTCGCTATCCGATCGGAAACCCGTAAATAAATCGAAAGAGTCGCTAGAAGCAAAGCACGGAGAATGGCCATTATCACAAAGTCCAGTGGAGTGGAGGTGTAGCCCGAATAGGCGAACATCTTAGGGATAAGGTCTACATGGAAAAGCCAGCTACTTGAGTAGAAGCCGAATAGTAGTATAGTACATGGCAAATCAACAGCTACGAAGAATAGTAGCGAATAGTGGACGATGTTCATATTGAGCAAATGAGGTCGGTTAAATGCATAGGTTCTGGAAAAATTGAGATTTAATTGTGAGAATGAAGGTGTACCATCTGATTGTATTGAATCATTGTGATACTGGAAGAAAAAGCCATGGATTAGTCAGACGAAATTAGTAACGCGCAATGGATGTGAAAACGACAACGTTTTTGCTGTTGCTATTGATAAGAGAGAAAAATCAAGTTGAAAATAGTGCAGGAATACATTTTTAAATGTACAAACAGGGGAACTGTGACATGTTTTCTCCGCTGCAAGATAATGATTCACTGGAAGTTAGCCAGACAGTTCTTCGTTAGAAAACCGAAATGTGGAAAGCAACCGTCACATCTGATATGAGATATCAGAAATGGGAAGTGAAGAAAAGAAGAAGGTATGTTGGCATTGCTACGTTGTCCTGTTTTAATTACAACGTTCATAGCTACTATCTGTCATTTTGAGCAAATCACCGTTCCATACGTTTATGAGATCAGCAAAACTACTCGTGCAAATATGTCCTTGTGTTAGTGATATTTCAAAGGATTGAAGAGTTACGTACTGAAAAACTAATAATAGATGAGACTAAAGTTTTTGGCAGAGATTCTTGGACCATAAAGCTAAAAGCTTGTACATGAAGTGATGGTAATGTTTATTGGAATTTTGCTATCGATGTTGATAGTGCGTTGAATAAAACAGAGAGAAGATAGCAAGTGACG